GTTTGGGTTCTTTCCCAGCCCTATTTAGTGATGTCTTGTCTCTCAATCAAGTGCTCACCAGGCTGGGCCCCAAAGATCAGGGGCAATTGGGATGTTCAGTTCTCTGTCCAACATTTCTTGCTTTGGCAAACATGCAGTCAAAGCAGTACAAGAACTGGCCACTCATCCAGTTGTGTGCATATGCCTAAAGAGACAGGGGAAAGGAGGAGGTGGGGAAAGTGGGACTAGTTGTTTGAGCTCTCAGGTTACCCTCTCCTTCCCTCCTTGTTATGGATCTTAAGGGATGAAGTTATACCCTAATGGGGGGTACATTCATTATTTTGTCCTTAGAAGGCCCCAGACAGCCCTGGCTCTTCCTCTTAAGAGCTTCATTAGTCACCATTGTGCTTGCAGAAGAATCCAACTTGGTTGCCACACTCCTGTCCCCATCATCATTTGGGCTGGATTTGAAGAAAGTGATGGAGGAGCTTGTTAGAACAATGCTTCCTCCTGGTTAGAACAAGGGCCTTTGTGTGACTCAGGGCAGATGACACAGGACACCATGCTCATCTCCAGCGTCCCAGGCATGGTAGCCCTTGTCATGATTTGGGAAGGGCCAAGAGGAGGAGCACGAGCATTCTGTTCTTCCAGCATTGATTATATACAAAAGAAAAAGATTTGTGCTTATTTATGTTCACGTCCCTCTCAATATCTGTGGATTATTTACTTCTAACTTCTTTTATTGCTGTGTCTCTGAAGAATATGTTTTTAAAAGTTAAATATCTAAAATCATTATTTGCAATACCATGCATTTTTCTTGTACATTCTTCATATACTAGCCTGAAGCTCATTTTTGTACTATAGAATACGGCATATCTGATTTTTTTTTTTAAATAGACCTTAATAGAAGATAATAGATAGAGAGAAGCAGGGAGATTCTAATTTAGGTCAAGTCCAGATGGGGGATCCTGGACTAGTCTGGTTCATGATTAAAAGGTTCTTATCCTTAATGTGATCTATTTTATCTCTCGCTTGAGTGATTCTTTCATTCACAGTGATCCGAGTTTTTTTCTCTCATAAGAAGTGTTCAGACAGGTCTTTGGATTACTCCTATTTGTCCCCCTTTTGATTAATGGCACTCTACTTCCCACCTCCTTCCCCTGCCCTTTCCTCTAGCTGTCATTCAACTGTCTATGGCAGTTTTCTTTCTTTTGTTGTTAAATAAAGTGATATAGTTGAAAGAGGAATGCATCTATCTAGCGTGGTACACACAATGCAGCCATTGTATCTCATTTATCTAGAATAGTGCTGCATCAATAGGGAAATATTAATTTTAAAATGTAAAACAGTAGGGTAAATGAAAATAGAGGAGGGGTTCTCTGTCATCCCTTTGAGTGCCACAACCCACCAAATACATCACAGGGCGGTCACCTCAGATAACACTGCCCACTAACCATCCCGTGGGCTACAGGATCACTCCGAATCATCCCATAAATTTTAAAATGTAAAACAGTAGGGTAAATGAAAATAGAGGAGGGGGTTCTCTTTCATCCCTTTGAGTGCCACAGCCCACCAAATACATCACAGGGCGGTCACCTCAGATAACACTGCCCACTAACCATCCACGTGGGCTACAGGATCACTCTGAATCATCCCATAATCCTAGTGCTGAGCCAAAAAGGAGTAGGGCAGCTCTAAAAAGGGGTGGGATGGATCAATCTAAGTCAAAACATGGGTAATTTGATTTGAATCAAAAAGCATCAAAAGCCGTCCAAATACTGTAGTGAGCTATGTACCCATCTGGATTTGCTCTCTACTGCCTCCCGGAGTTGTGTCAGGTTCATGTTGGTTGCTTCGCAGACACTGTCCAGCCATCTCATCCTTGGTCGTCCCCTTCTCCTCTTGCCATCACACCTTCCTAACATCAAGGTTTTTTCCAAGGACTCTTTTCTTCTCATGAGATGGCCAAGGTACTGGAGCCTCAGCTTCAGGATCTGTCCTTCAAGTGAGCACTCAGGGTTGATTTCCTTTAGAACTGATAGGTTTGTTCTCCTTGCAGAAGGGGTGGGATGGATCAATCAAAACATGGGTAATTTGATTTGAACCAAAAAGCACCAAAAGCCGTCCAAATACTGTAGTGAGCTATGTACCCATCTGGATTTGCTCTTAGTTTCCCTATAAAAACTTTATTTACAGCTTGTTCTACCTCTTATCTTTTTGTTTTAAATATAAAACAGATGAATTTCATAGTAACTGAACATTCTGTTGTGGTGGGAGAGTAGTTCTGGAGTGGAGGATGGTGTGATACTTAGAGAAAAAAATCTACAGAATTTAAGGGACGTGTCTAAGGATGTGAAATATATACCTTCAAAACTTTGATTAGTTTCATGGGAAAAAGAGAGCTGCTGACCTTTCAACAATAGCTATTCTCATTATTGTGTGTGAGCTGAATGCCAGTACATGTAGTCCACACACTTCTCTGCTACCAAAAGCCTCTAAACCAGGAATGAAAAATATGTGGCTTGTGGGGCAGTGCTTAAACTGCAGCATTGCAGTGAAGACTCTGTTCATGATCTGAGTTTTATCCCCAATGGACTCCGGTAGCTGGCTCAAAGTTTACTTAGCCTCCTACCCTTCTAAGGTCAGTAAACTGAATGCCCAGCATGCTGGGGCAGGGCAATATGTAGCCTGCATAACTGAATTGTAAACTTCCCATAGAGTGCTTTAAGCCAGCAGTTCCTAACCTCTAACCTTGGGTCCAGATGTTCTTGGAGTTAAACTCCCAGAAGACTTCGCCGCTAGCTGTGCTGGCCAGGATTTCTGAAAGTTGTAGTCCAAGAACTTGTAGAGCAGTGGTCCCCAACCTTGGACCTCCAGATGTTCTTGGACTTCAGCTCCCAGAAATCCTGGCCAGTAGAGGTGGTGGTGAAGGCTTCTGGGAGTTGCAGTCCAAGAACATCTGGAGGCCCAAGGTTGGAGACCACTGTTGTAGAGAACCAAGGCTGGGAACTACAGCTTTAAATGGTATGGGATGGTATTTAAGTAGCACTTTCCTCTTTCTTTCCTTTTTCTTTTCTTTTCTGCTTTTTGTGAGCTGCATGAAGTCCTCCAGTGTCCCAAATGCAGCCCCCAAGATCCCCATACCCTCCCAAAAATTAAAACAAAAGCAAAAAGAACTTGTGTTTGAGAGAGAAATGTCAAAAATACCCACTACTACCTTAGGGGAGTGTTACCCATTTATGTAAGCAAAAATGGGGGAAATCTCAGGAGCGCGTCCAGGGGTAGCTGTATGTCATTTGGAGGTTCCTGCAGGAAACTTACCATGACATCCAAATCTGATCACCATGGATATTATTTCTTTGCCTCCATGTTTAAGCTAGCATTATTAAAGCAAATATAAACGAGAGCTTGCAATCCTCCCAAATTCTGGTTTTTCATTCTGTGCAAAAGCAACCCATTTTTGTTTTTCTGAATATAACTAGATATGAGTACGTTTATGATGCTATTCATTTATTGAGTGGGGCTCAACATGGAATTTGTTCCTGAACATCCTTAAAAAAAAAAAGCTGTGGATCCATTTCTGTTGGGCTTCAGGCAGCGCCGCAGCACGGAAACAGCACTGGTTGTCCTGTTTGATGACCTACTGAGGTCCTCTTTTTTTCCATCTTGGATTCTGTGATTAATTCGAATTTTACCTTTAGTTTATTTTTTATGTTTTATGTAAACCGCCCAGAGTAGACATGTTCTAGATGGGTGATATATATAAAATTTAAAAAAAATGAATTTAAAAAATCCCATCCTTTAGCAACAGCATGATCGGGAAGATGTCATGCCCTGCATTGAGGACAGTTGCTGCTCAGTTTGTTCATTGGTCTTAAAGGTAAAGGTAAAGGTTCCCCTTGACAATTTTTGTCCGGAACACACTTTAAAAAAAAAAAAAGCTGTGGATCCATTTCTGTTGGGCTTCAGGCCGCGCCGCAGCACGGAAACAGCACTGGTTGCCCTGTTTGATGACCTACTGAGGTCCTCTTTTTTTCCATCTTGGATTCTGTGATTAATTCGAATTTTACCTTTAGTTTATTTTTTATGTTTTATGTAAACCGCCCAGAGTAGACACGTTCTAGATGGGTGATATATATAAAATTTTTTAAAAATGAACTTAAAAAATCCCATCCTTTTGCAACAGCATGATCGGGAAGATGTCATGCCCTGCATTGAGGACAGTTGCTGCTCAGTTTGTTCATTGGTCTTAAAGGTAAAGGTAAAGGTTCCCCTTGACAATTTCTGTCCAGTCGTATTCGACTCTAGGGGGCGGTGCTCATCCCCGTTTCCAAGCCATAGAGCCAGTGTTTTGTCCGAAGACAATCTTCCGTAGTCACATGGCCAGTGCGACTTAGACACGGAACGCTGTTACCTTCCCACCGAGGTGGTCCCTATTTATCTACTCACATTTGTATGCTTTCGAACCGCTAGGTTGGCAGGAGCTGAGACAAGCGACAGGTGCTCACTCCGTCACGTGGATTTGATCTTACGACTGCTGGTCTTCTGACCCTGCAGCATAGGCTTCTGCGGTTTAGCCAATTTCTCCTTGAGCCAAAGTCATATCACATTCAGATTTCTCTTCTGGATTCTTATTGCATCAATTGTTTGCCTTTCACAAAAATTCAGAAATGGGTTCTCAGGCTATCAGTATTGGGATTTGAATTTTCAGGATTAGTAGGTTGTGTTGAGGTCCTGGTTGTTAAAGTAAATCAGTTGGATTCAACTACTAATTGATTCAACAATTTAACCTACTTCCCTAGCATAAGAAACAACAAAGACAAAATCTAGCTGTGTTTGAAATGTATTTATGTGCCTTTCACCTCAGTAGAAGAGCTAACCATGTTCTTAACATCTTCCCTATGAAGTAAACAGGACATAAAAATGCTTAGCTTTCATGAATTGTGTAGAAAATAATAAAGGTCCTCCCTTCAAATTATCTGCTTGAGTGACTGACACATTTTGTTTTGTTTTCATTTTAGAATTTTAAGCAAGCTAAGCCAGGAGATTAACCGACATGAAGAAAGAAAAAGTTTCTTTCCAAAACGGTAAACTGAGTAGTTTAACATTTTACCACTATAAAAATAGTAAGTGAATATGTAGTCTCTTTTGTGTGCAGTGATCACTGGTTCTTGTGGCTGGGTAGAGTTTATTCCTTATTTATTTAGTATCATTGGATGAACGGAGATACAGACATTTAAGAACAGAGTAATTAGAATTCACCTTACAGGGAAGGAGGCAACAACTGACATAAATCACCTAGCAAAATTAATTATATAACTTACTTTACGTACATTCAAAGTGCTAATCCCAGTGTTAGACCTACTTAAAGCAGACCCACTAAGCAATACGTATCCTAAATCCATTGTAACTAACAAGCCTGGATTTACAAATCTAAGCATGTGCTTAATTTTGGGTTTAAACAAAAGAAAAATAAATTTTTAAAAAAAAGAAGAAAAGGTTGTGGTACCTTAAAGACTAACTGCCAGCTTTTGTGGACAAGTCTATTTCCTCAAACATAAGAGAGTTGTTATTTACAATGGGTTTAAGATACATTTTTCCCAGTGGGTCTGCTTCTAATAGGCCTAACACTGGGATTAGCACTTAAAATATAGCAGTTAGTCTTTAAAGTGCCACAACATTTTTGTCTTTAAATTTTTTATTTCTCTCTCTCTCTTTTTGCGTGATATGCTAGCACAGATTGACAATCCATTTTGTCAGCATTAGTTGGGTTAACGTACAGATGTATTTCCAAACATATTATTATGCTTAACTCATACTTTAAATTAAGATCCAAGCAGTAAATTGTGCATTTCTTTTTTCTCTCCAATTCACAGGGTGCCCACACAAAAGCCTCCTGACTTTAGAGGTAAAAACAACTACTTAAGAGTATTTTTCTGTCTACTGCTCTGTCATTCAGAAGAGGTCCTCAATGTATTTGGTTCTTGTCCAGAAGTATTCTCAGTCTATGAGTTGCATTTGTGCCAAGTTGGTTGCATTTTTCATTTGTAAGAATTCAAGACTTTACAGGAGGGGTGTGGTGGCACTGCGGGCTAAACTGCACAAGCCTTTGTGTGCGGCAGGGTCAGAAGACCAGCAGTCGTAAGATCGAATCCACGCGACGCAGTGAGCGCCCGTCGCTTTGTCCCAGCTCCTCGCCAACCTAGCAGTTCGAAAGCATGTAAAAATGCAAGTAAATAAGTAGGTACCACCTCGGTGGGAAGGTAAACAGTGTTCCATGCATAGCTGCTCTGGCCATGTGACAAGGGAAACTGTCTTCGGACAAACGCTGGCTCTACGGCTTGGAAATGGGGATGAGCACCGCCCCCTAGAGTCGAACACGACCGACTAAAATGTCAAGGGGAACCTTTACCTTCTCCTTTAAGAATTTACAAGATTTTATACAATGAAAGAAAGCAGATTTCTGCACAGGAAGAAGCCCATGGATACAACACTCCTCTGTCTAATACAGCCTGTTTTTTTCAGTTGGAATCCTTATATCTGAACAAAGCCTGTTTATTATTCAACATCCACTAAGTTTCATGTCCTGAAGTCTCCTTATTTTCCTATTCAAATAAACCTCACATATTTGAATGCTCTGCACTATATGAATTCTGTAACATGAGAATGCAGGCATATGACCATGGCTATCAGAATGCTCTTAATCTGTCACTAAATCCAGGATATTTTCTTTTATTTCTTCTCCACCTGAGGCCAAGTACACCTTTGCATTTCTATCACTCAATATGCACATACAACTGTGTATGTGCGTATTGAGTGAATAACCAACAGTGTTTTCATATAAACAAATAAAGTCCAATGATTTTCTGAGAAAGCCATGCACCCATTTAGCTGAGGGTTGCTTAATAATATCTAACACTGTGGGTGATTGTGATAGCAGGTAACACATAGGCATGCACGACCACTGTTCTCTGTCATAACCCATCTTGGCAGTGTGCTAGCTATTAATTGTTAAATAATTTTAACTTTACAATTTTTGTTGACATGTCAATATTGGTGTTGCCTTTCTGCAGTAGTTAATCAAGACGAGGATGGTGGCTGGTCTTCCTTTGTAAGTAAATTTTAAATAATATATAGAGTCATGACTAAAAGGAAATTATATGGTTGCAAAGATCATAGTATTATTAAATACGTCTTTACAAAAACTCATATTTCTTTACAAACAACAGAGGCAATGATGGAACTGAAGAGGGTATTAAAACATGAGAAGATGAAGAACCTTCATTTTTCCAAGAGAAAACTTTTAAAATTATTTATTTAGTAAAATAAGCAAGTAAACTTCTTAAACGATCCTAGTTTCTAGCAGCACAGTGCTCAGTTTCCTATTCTGAGGGTCTAAAGAGGTCTTATTTGAAAATAAAATATAAAAATCCTTCAAATTACCATTCTGATCATCCAAGTTTTGAACTGAGTTCCAACCTCCAACATTCAAAGAGTCTTTGCCAACATTCCTGAGGTGCCCCAAACAAATATTCTTCCAGACCAGAATGAAAAGTATCATAAGTTTTCTCCTTGCTGGGTGAGATTACGGAGTCTCTTGTGTATTCACATTTCAGTATGTTTGTGTGTGTGTGTGTGTGTGTGTGTGTGTGTGTGTGTGTGTGTGTGTGTGTGTGTGTGTGTGTAAAATATGCAGAAGTGGTTTCTGTGCAAAAAAATGCAAGGGTTTGTGCAAAAATAATATTTGATAATGCTTCTGACAATGAAAAAGGCACTGGATTTTTTAATCTGCTACAGGAGTGATAAATCTCTTAGAGGTTCACAGTTTTTATAATGGTGTTTGATTTTTTTTTTTACTGGCTGTGAGAAAACTGACAAATATTTGTTACATCCTTGTTCTAGGGTAGCACACAAAGTTCAAAGGGGCCAGAGGCATAAGTCAGGGCAAAATGAAGCTCTGGTCACTTCCATTAAAAAAATAAAGACCAATCTAAGCTTAAAGCAGACCTGCACTGGCCCAACATAGCCTTTAAATGGCCAGATGCAACCACTGTAGTCTTCTGGGGGTGCAACTAGCCATTTTCATGGCGAATAGTTTTGAGGGGGTCTGAAGAGATGGCGAAGGTTGGCCACAGGTCCTTTAATGTTTTGATTTACCCAATACTCTGAGGTAAGCATCCTTCTCCCCTATTTCATTAAATCTGACTTTGATATTATTAGTAATGAGTTGAACAACTAATTCATGGTGATGAAAGCTCTCCTTGCTGTCGTACGCAGTTTTGGCAGGCTAGCATTTCTGTTTTGACAGGAGGAAAGTGATGACTATGAAAGCCCAGATGACGATCCTGAAGGTGGCGTAGACTACGAAACACCCAATGACAATGGCATTGATGATGAAAACGATGCTGATTACGAACCTCCTCCCTCAAATGATGATGATGCACTCCGTAATGTTATATTTCCTTCCAAATCCATGCCAGCCACTTCAGAATACATAGGTAACTTCCTGTTTCTAATCATTTCATTTTTTGAAATTCTTGCGGAACATGTGTAGAGAACTTCAAAAAGTAATTCTGACTTCTAGTTTTCTACTCATTTTAAAAGTTCCTTCTAATTGAGCTTTGAGGCACTTATCCTGCGCAAGCTAGAAAGTATGTGGGGCAGGTGGGGAGTGCGGACTGCACCTAAGTGGCAGAGTGTGCATTTTGCATTTGAAAGCTTCCAGGTTTGGTCTTTGACATCTCTAAGCAGAGGTGGAATAAATGGTGCTCCAAGAACCCCTGCCAGTCCTTGTCAAATTTACCGGGCTGGAAGGACTAGTGATTTCCCTTACTATAAGATAGCCTCCTATCATCCCAAGAACTCCTCTACATACTCAGAAAAATTAATTTATTTCCATTTGCCTAAAATGGTATCATCAACAAAAACAGACAATGTGTAGTCTTCATGAAACTGAGCAAATGTAAAAACCCCTCCCGGTATAGTTTTGCTAATACTCCTGTTGTTGCTGCTTTTAGACAGACCTGCAACAGAAAGATCTAAAGCAGCATTGCAACCTCCAGTTCCACCCCAAAGGCCTGGATCCTCCCCTACACCGCTAACACCTAGGGGGGGCAGAGACACTGGGGTAAGTATCTTGAGTACAGAAGTAGTTTCCTTCTGCATGTATTTTTTTTTCCAGAAGACAAAGCTCAGCTTTCCTGTTTCACAAAGAACTGCTGCCAATCACTTTATCAGTTTCTGTCCAGGCTTCCTGTTACTTTCAGTCAGAGCTGGGCTGGCAAAATAGAGATTTCTTCAGTATGGCAGGCTCTGATTTGTGCATAAATTGTAGACACATGTTGCTTCTCTGTTTTACAAATATTTTTCAAGTCTGAATCTATTTCCAGAGAGGCTGAGTCCATCTATTATATTGTGCAACAGAGTGAATCAGCATTCGATCAGGGAAATTAAAAAAAAACTGAGGTGCCCCAAACAAATATATATATATATAACTTTGAAACTGGAACTCAGATCAGTACCAAATTTGGGGATGTTTGAGCAAACAGGTTCTGCGTTAGGATTTTTTTTAATAAGTAAAACTGTTTTACTCCTCCCCCACATGCAGACGCTGGTGATCTTTTCTAGTTAAAACAGATCAAATACAGTACATTGAAAAGACCAGACTTGCTTATCTTGAAAAATAATGGTTAGAATGGTTAAGGAGCCTTGTGGCACAGTGGTTTAACTGCAGTACTGCAGCCAAAACTCTGCTCACAACCCAGGTTCAATCTCAGGTATGCAGCTCAAGATTCACTCAGATTTTCCTCCTCCCAAGATTGGTAAATTGAGCACCCAGCTGGCAGCGGCAGGGGGTGGGGGAATGTATAGCTTGTACAATTATATTGTGAACTGGCCAGAGTGTGCTTTCAGTGCTATGGGGTGGCTTTTTTGAGTCCCAGCCCCTTTTTGGAAAAAAAAATTGGATGAAATCCATGCTTTCTTCCTGGCTAAACACGCATTAAAAAGTTTCCATTTCTGGTGTAAAAATATTTTAGAATATATACGCATTAAAAAGTTTCCATTTCTGGTATAAAAATATTTTTAAAAATACTTTAAGAATAGAAAATAAATATTAAGAATACACTCAGCTCAGCTATGAAATTACTATCGCTGTTTTTGCTTTGTGGCTGGGGATGGTTTTACAGAACTTTGATGCCTATTCCACCCATCTTGTCACTATACCATTATTGAATAATTAAGGAAAAAAAGCCTCCAAAGATACTATGTGTCATCAAGTCACTTCTTATGTGTGGTGACGATATGAGTTACTGACTTCCAAATTGTCCTGTTATTAACAACTCTGCTCAGATCTTGCAAAACAACAGCTTCTCATGTTAGGTTGTTCTCTTTTCCCACTGCTCTTCTTAGCAAAATTGTCTTTTCTATTAAGTTCTGATCAGATCTTGTGAAATAACAGTTGTGCCTTTCCACATTAGCTCTTCCTCTTTTCCTACTGCCCAACCCACTTTTCCCAGCAATGCAGTCTATTCTGGTCATTTCTGTATTTCCATTATACAGTATATGCATGTAGGATAGTCTCAGCTGACTCATTTTTGCTCTAGTGACAACTCAGGCTTGACTTGATTGAGCACCCACTTCTCTGCTTTTCTCTCTGTCTTTCATATCTATATGGCTCTCCTCCAACACCAGCTTTCAAATGAAATTATTTTTGTCCCTGTCTTTTTTTCACAGTCTTTCTTTCACATAGCGTGGAAGATTTTGACCTTGGTTTCCAGTGACAATCTTTGCCAAATCCAGCCTCTCGCTTTCTTTTATTTCAAAAGGCAAAGTGACATGTACATAACATATCCATATAAAACATGCACACAGCACGTCCATAGAGCTTTTGGTCTAATATAGCCTTTCTTCCTCAGCTTGCCTAACTCAAGGAAAGGGGTTGGAAACTGAAATTTAACTGTGTAGCCTGCAGTCTGCATATGTTTCTCCACTGTGTGTGTTGTACCTACTCACACCTTTAATTCACCATTTCATGAAGTCCAAAACAGCTCTTCAAAATATTTTGGTACAGAGGTGCTACAGCCATATCCAAACTGTTCTCACTTCTGTCTTCTCCCAGTACA